ACACTTTGGATGGGTTTGGGTTCCAGCTGTGAATGGGCGACACAACTGTTGACCGTCTCTTAGTGTCACCCATGTGGAATTTTTGTGAGTGAAAATAGAAAGAACCACAACAGGAAACACTACTGTTGCTCTAACCTGGCCTTTTATAACACTGTCACCCCATTGCAAAACTCAGCGAAAGTATTACTACCGAAGCAGTCGTTATCATGATGCTTATCCTCCTTGTTTGCTTTGAACATAATCACTTCCTTGCCTGCTACCCCAAATAAATAAATTAAAGTAAATAAATGAATTAGAGAAAAACAAAAAGAGATGTCTGAAGCAGAGCAGAGGATATATTATTGTGTTGAGATTGTTTTTATTGCTTTAGAGCCATAAAGATTTCAGAGTTCTAGTTGGCTGTTGGAGGGTGCTTATTCTCACAAGTTATCAAATGTATCCTATTCTGAAGCACATAATTGTTGGAATATTTATCAATTCATGTACGTTGTACATTAATTTTCCCATGCTGTGCAGGATGTTGAAACACACTAAAAACCCAAAGAAACAACAGAACAAGAATGTGAAGTGATGGATACGACCAGAATTGTCATCGCTTTCAATCAATTTTACAAATTGTCTTTTAAACCTTTTTTTTTTAACAGTTGTAGATGAGGAAGAAGAGTATGTTGTTCCAACCCTCAGCCCTAAGTCTCCCGGGGGAAACAAACAACAGGTTCCTTTATCCCCCAAGGAGGTGATGGAGGCAGATTACTTCCAAGTGGATAATGGAGAAAATTTTGGGGAACCTCCAAGGTACCGAATTCAAGTTGTTATGTTCACGTGAATTTAAAGAACTCAGTGTACCAGATTTTGGTCAAAAGTTAACTCGCAAAAGGCTTCTTGGACCCCGCAGTCAGACGTCAACTTAAATGGTTTTATGAATATCGATACGTCACATACTCAATCTTAGTTTGCTGGAAAGCACCTGTTCAACAAAAACTATTTTTTTAACTGATATTATCGGACTCAGGTCTTGTGGAAGCATGCTGACTGAGAGGTTAAATACAGATGTAACCTCCATGGTAGGGTAGGAGGTAGTTTTTTCCCGCAGGTTTGACACAAAGTCGGCAAAAAACATGAACTCGGTAAACACACCTTGTCCTTGAGCTTTGTTGACGTACGTTTCTCCTTCCTCGCTAGTTCTGCCCGGAAGACTTCCAACACCAGACAGCCCGACCTGGTGAGCGAACCGGTGTACACGATTCCCCCCGATGAGGAGGAGGATGACACCGATGCCAACCAGCTCTACGGCAACATGACCAACGAGGAACTGGAGGAACACAAAAGAACATCAGTTTTGAATACTCCCACAAAGCCCATGCCATATGCCAAGAAACCTAAGAAGCCAGCCGTCTACCCGAAACCTGTCCAGAAACCAACCAAGACAGCACCCTTGCAACACAGACAAGGTGAAGCCTTTGATGTGCTTATAGCGTAACTGTTAAGAAACCTTTGACTGCATCATAGACTGACGAATCTGATTCTCACGTTTTTTAACTGTCTTCATTTCATCTCCAGATTCGGCCACTAAAGACGAACAAGCCACCGAAGAAGATGACGATATTTACTCCATGGTCTGTGATGTAGAGAACACCCCCGAAAAAACAGGTGTGTCCCTATCCTCCCGTGTGTCCCCGCCTGTCCCCGCCCAGCGCCACACGTTCTTAGATTTTGAGCACCTCGACCACGACAGAAAACCTGATTCGTGCAAACCAGAAATCAAACAGAGTTACGTACATTTGTCATCCTCGCCTCGACCGGAGCACTTACCTCAGCAGGAGAGCTATCAGTTGGGCGGGGAAACGAACGATGATGAAATATCGCACACCTATTATCACACTAGTATGGGTGACAAGCTAACGCCAGAAGACGATCTGAGCCTGTACAAAAATATGCCCGTACCAGAACAAGCTGTACCAACAACTACAGAGACTAAACATTCCCCAAGTGTTGCCAAAAAGCCACCAGTATCACCTTGGAAGCCCTCGGTCCCAGGCAGGGGCGGAGTCAAATGACATCACTAGAGCTGGAGGGTTTACACGTCCTCAAGGCACAGTGGGGCCTGAAGCATAAGGAAGTGTCGTAGATTTTTAATTTTGCCTCGCTGAATGAACATTATATCCCACGGCGACTCCTCCAAATTACTCAGTTAGGTACAACCCACAGAGTACTTGGTCCTTCCGTAAAATTCGACGTGTCAAAATTCCCTGTTTGCCTTGTTCCAAATGCTGCTAGATTTTAGACATGTTACAGTCCCCGTCAATTGAAATAAGAAAAACCTCATGAAACTGGTCAGTGAAGTAGCCTTTTTAGCATATTCTCCTTATATCGAAATTGATGGTAGGTCTTTCAACTTTACATTTAATTGATTCTATTGAATTTACATAGCATGCAGTTCAGTTTATATATTTTCTCCACACTGTACAAAAAAAATTGTACTTTGTGGTCATCCTGTTATAACGTTATTCCATTTTTATCCACGCAGCCTGACTGGTGTGAAGTTGTGTGATGGTATATACAGGTAGTAATCTACCAAATGAAACCGTTGGCTGAGTATACATGTAGAATGTAGCATGATATTCAGCATGTCGTCTTCACACGCTGTGTAGCTTAGAGCCGGGGAGATTTAGTCAGTGCAAATAGCAAACGGCGCTTGGTGAAAGTCTTTCCAAAGCTCTTCCTAACCAATCAGCATTATTCAAATTAACGAGAATAATCCAGGTGGAAGCAGCAGTGGATGATCTAGAAAATGCTGCTCCAAAACTGGCCACAACGAAGTTGTGGATTGCTTGGCAACCGTGGCATGCCTGAGACACTTGGCGAGTTGGCATGTCTTGCACTCGTGGTGTGTGGCTTTGGGATAAATATGCGTTCACTGTAGTTACAGGATCACAACTCTTTACAGCAGCCGCACAGTAGATGGCACCCTGGGAAAATTTGGCTCAAATAGTAAAATTGCCGTTTAAGGTAATAATGGCACTTGATGAATCGACGAACCAGGTTCATCAAAGGCATACACACAATATGCATAATACCCCAAGAATGTTCAACTAAACACAATTTTTATATTTACACATGATTATCGGCGTCGCCAGAATTTTTTTGGGGGGGGGTTGGCAAAGCACTCATCAACAGCAAACAGATAAACGATTAATGGTGGAAGGGAGTAAATTCGGAGGTATTTTTTGGGTAGATTGATTTAATCCCTGCTTTTTTCTTTGTTTTTCTGTGTCTTTCACCTCATTGTCCTCCCCC